TCAAAGCAGTGAATATTCTGACAACTGCATGCTGCACTATTGAGAGTGATCTGCATGCATCGAATGCGTTTTGCAAGTTCAATTTCTCCTTTGCACGGAAAACTTCACTCGCAATCAGCCGAAGGGATTCTACTCATCACTAATGGAATGAGGGTCTGAATAAAATGAGGTCATTTGGCCAACGAAAAGTATATAAATTACCGTTACCTGAAGCTTTGTGTGAGGCATTGATTCCCACGCATTTTTTGGCTTGTACTATTTGAAGTGAATTGTGTCAAACTCATCAGGGTAAAAACCGAACAAGTAAATTTTATTCTTTTAAATATGCAGACTTATTTTAACTCATCATGACAAATAAAATCGCTATCATAACTATATTCTCAACTCATCATGTTCAAATTCAAAATCACTTTCATAACTGTAATCACTTGTATCCGAATAATCAGGATCTTCAGGAGGATTATCCGGATCCCATTGATATCCATCATCAAATGGATCTTGACCATCACCTTCACCATCATCAAAATAATCTGCATAATGTTTTCCATGGTCTTGTCCACTGAGGTTTCCGAGGTACTGACTCATCTCCTCCCACCACAGCCTATAGCCCTCTGCGGTGCTAGGATCGTTCCTTGCTGAATAGGTCCAGCCAACGCGAGTGTTGGTGCGATTCCAATTGCGATGATTAAAGGGATCTTTAACAATAATATCATTGTTCTCCATACTGCCGCCGCGACTGTCAACAGATTTTCCTCCCTTGTCGTCTTCATCGTCTCCCGGAATCTTGTTTTCCTCGGAAACTGCACTACTGCCAAAAAGTCGATTGAAATAGTCCCAGATGTTTTTTGAGTGAACACTGCCAGTGAGGAAAATGATCTCAAAAGATAAGAGATAATGCGCAAAAAGAAGTTTCAAACTTTCGCAGATTCTGAAAGAGGAAGCTGCGCACATACAAATCACACTTTTTTTAGTATAAGCAATAAACCCATGAACTGAAATAGACTGCTTTAAGCTCATGAAGTCGTGCGTAGCTTTATTCTCTCACAATTCAAAAATTTCTTTTCAAATAATGTGTGTATGTATATTGGTCTTAGTCAAAATGCAACTCACCGTTAGCAATGACGGTTTCATTCTCAGTTGACAAGACAACTTCAACTGCTTTTAATGTTGAAGTGAATGGTAGACAAAAGCGCTACGTTTTGTATACACACATTCGGGCATCAACTTGCACGTAGTCATTGAAAAAACCCATATTCCGAGTCTAATATTCCAAGTACATTTCATTGAAGATAGTTTGAATTGAGTGCAATGTCAATGAATTTGTGCAGCTACTAGAATGCTGCGCCTGAATACAAACACAACCTGAAGTCATAAGTTTCACATACTTCGCAGTGGAAAAGACAAAGTGTTGTTTGCAAAACGCTGCACAGTTATTATTTAGCGTGGCAGTATGGTTTGTCAATGCTTTTCTCGTAATTCAAACTTTATCCATAAAGGATTTCCAAAAGATTGTATTCCAAATTTTGATGATCTCATAACTTCATTTATTAATTGCTTTCTGATTCTTGAAATCCGGATCCATCATTTGATAAACAGGTAACATTCTAATTTTCCTTACTGAGTAGCCCTCCAAACAAAAGCTTACTGGGAGACATTGAACAAGTTAATGAATGTCTTGATTCATTTCTTCAGTCCTAAGGTCGCATTTGACTAGCATCAGTGTCGCGCTGTTGAGAATGATGTAATATTCAGTCACAAAGCCCTTGAAAAAAATCATGCTTTTCTGCTGTAAACTGGGGAACGTAAGCGGAGACTGCACTTCCATGGTGCTTCAGAGGCTGATAATTATAGCCTTGAGCAGAGCAAGCACTCGATAGAGGAAGACAAATTATACGATTTACCAGAGGGGCCCGCTAGAACCCGCCGCAGTCTGCGTCTCTCTTGCGAGCGTGCTCTCTGATCATTCTCTAGCCTTTAGGCCTCGAAGCCCCACCTTAAGGCCTCCAATGAATGAAAGATTACGTTTTCGAGCTGCCAACTGGGAAAAGGGGGGGGCAGGCGTTATGGAGCAAAGCAGCACCGCATTCCCCTGCGGTATATCTTGAGGGCCAGTTGCGTTGCGTCGCCTTTAATTGCAGCCGCAGGAGTACGCCGCTCCTGACAGCGAACTGAGCCATTCCCTATTGCTACGCCTTGAGAAGATGTCCAAACTGCATGAACGTAATAAAGGTATTCAAAATCGAAAGACAGATGGATTTTACGGATGCAAAGGCTGAATCTCGGATGAGAATAAAAGACTGATTTTAAGTGTAATGCGAGAATTAGTAGAGAAAAGGGACAGAAATTTTTCGTTATTGACTTTCCAAGCCTTCACTTTCTCTTGGATGGTACCTTTAAACATTTCTTCCTCAAAATCTATTTTTTCATCCTCAAAATCCATTTAACTTCCGCATCTTGGTCTCTTTACAGAAGAAGAATTTCGAGAATGACTCAATCCTCTGGGTAACGCTAGCTCTGCGGGTGCAATCAGGAGCGACACAAAAAGGGCCTTCAGGATATACCGCAGGCGAATGCGGCGTAGCTTTGCTCCATAACGCCACGCCGCCTGGGAAAAGTAAGTGGACACTCATTCTATGGTGATGTAAAGGCTGATGATTACAGCCTTGTACAGATCAGAGCACTCAGTGAAAAAAATGTGCATAAGTTTAGAGTCAATATTTGAAAATTTTGTTTCAAGCATTTCAGAAAACTGAAGAGGTTCAAACTTTTTTTATACATAAAGCCTAATAGCTCTGTATGCTCGCATTATGCTGAACAAATGACATGAGTATATTCTTGACTTTATAGCGATAGATTAGTTTTGCTTGCGCAAGTTTACATCTTTTCGGGTCCTGGATTAATTGCATATATATATTAACGTTGTAAATAGGAAAAGCTGGTTGTAAAAATACTACCAGGAAAAAAATGACAGAATATGTATAAAGTAATTGTGGGTTTTACACAAAAACCGTCCGTTCCATGTTATAGCCAAATGACACCAATAAGCCTACAAAGTGACTTGTGGACGAGCTGAACACTCAGTTAGTGTCCGTAGTTTCCACTGTTGCTTCATGACAGTTTTGATCAATTCAATAATGAGAGTTTCTGGTATTCAAAATTCGCACCAAGTACTGTCAGTAATCCAAATTTGCATGCTGGAATAGCAATATTGAAAAGTACTGAAAAGTTGATGATTAATGAAGTTGCGCATGTTTGCTGAGATCAAACTGCTGACATAGTGTCTGTAGGAAAGATGACAAAATTCTGACAGTGATTTGTCATTTTCTGCATTCAAGTCATTTTGACTTAATAAGTTTGAAATTAGACAGAAAAAAATAATAAAAAGTTCTGATGTTCGTAAAATAATTTGAAAATCATATCCATTAGACGATACACTGTTTGCAAAATCTCACCGTGATACTAACACGTATACTAACACATCCGTAGCTGGAAATACCGGACTATCTATTTCAATGTTTTAGTGTAAAGCTCATCACCTTTTGAGCTTGCCCACCCCCTAGCTCCTTTTTTGCTTTGTTTGGCAGGCAAGACGCCCATCTCGAATTGTTATCTAAAGCGACCAAAACGAATATGCCAGCTACAGTAGGGTAAAAATGATTAATAAAATAATCAATGTGTTTGTAATTTTATTTGCGATTATGTTACTTTATTTTACTTGTTTCCTTCCTCAAACTATCCAACTTGAGTTGAAATGGGATTTTCTCATAATTTTTGCGAGGCGTCATGCCTCCGAAAAATTCTCAGAAACAATTTTGATTATTTACAAATGCAAATTGGTCACTTGCACATACCTATAACTCATTTGAGTGACTTTTAAGAATTTCACAGCATAGTCTTGCGCGCACCTCCCCCCTTGGTAGCCACACCGCCACGCCCTTTTGGTAATATGTAGTAATCAACAAATCTTCTTGATATCATTCTTGTTGAGAGGAGTGTAACGAAGCCTCTGAAACCAATCTAGCCATTTTCTGTTAAGTAAAATTACTAAGAAAGGTTGCTGGATTTCCCAGCTTCTCAGCTGTTGATTTCCATTCAAATCAAGACCTTCAGTACTATTTTCATTATTTACTCTTTCACTGCAAGTAAAGCGCTAATGCTAGCAATTTCCTAATTTTTGTAAAAAAAAAGCAAGCCATGTAACTTTTTTTGCCAATTTCCCTTAATTTATTGCAGCAGTTGAGTTAGCCTTTTTTTCTCTGGGATCATTTGGAAACCTTCAAAAAAAGCATTTGTCAAACAAGCACCTCTAGATAAAAAAGTTGAAGATATGCAGTTTTCTGGAAACTTGTCTCTCATCTTCGATTGCGAAGTTTCAACTTCTCAAATATTTTTCTTGTGACTATGGCTTGCTCTATGTGCATGTTTAGTAGCTAGGAAAAGAGCAAGGAAAGCGAAAGCAGCAAATTGAAATACATTAATACAAGAGGATCACGTTTGAGCTTCAAAGCTTTGAAGAACGAGATTCAATTCCACTTAGTCTTTAGGGCTTGACTAACTCCACGCACTTAACTCTCTCCCCACCCCTCTCCTCCCTGGGTCGGAAATCCCGGGATCGCCACTGATAGGTAGTGCATTATTCCGATGTTGCCTTTCATACACCAAGGCAGTGAATTCTGACAACTGCATGCTGCATGCTGTATTCTGCAACCACTGACAGTGATCTTTATGCATCGAATGCATTTTGGAAGTTTATTTTCTCTTTTGAACATTCGCTAGCACTTAGCTACAAGGGTTTCTACTCATTGTTGATGAACTGAGGGACTAAAAAATTTAACTCATTCCGTCAACGAAAAAATAATTCCAAGTACTGTTACCTGAAATTTTATATGAAGCATTGCTTCCTTTACATTTTTTGGCTTGCATTTTTTGAAGTGACTTGTGTCAAACTCAATCAGGGTGAGAACTACACAAGCAAATTTATACTTAGTGAAGACGCAGATTTATTTCAACTCATCATGTTCAGGATAGCCGAAATCACTATAATAACTATAATCACTATAATCCGAATGATCAGGACCTTCAAAGGGATTATTTGGATCCCATCCATAACCATCAAATGGATCATCTGGATATTCATAATAAACATCATAAATAAAGAACAAGTCTGCAATATGTGTTCCGCTGTCTTGTCCACTGAGATTTCCGAGATACTGTCTCAACTTTTCCGAGATAGTCTTATAGCCTTCTTCGGTCGAAATATCGCCCTTTACTGAGTAGGTCCCGCCAACGCGATTGTCGATGTGAGTCCTTTCGTGTGTAGGAGGTTGTTTAAGAACAATCTCATTGTTCTCCACACCGCCGGCGGGTTTTTCAGCAGGTTTTCTTCCCTTGGCGTCCTCATTGTCTCCCGGAATCTTATTTTGCTCTTCGGATTCTGTTTTATTGCCAAAAAATTGATTGAAAAAGTCCCAGAAGCTTCTTGAGTGAACACTGCCAGTGAGGAAAATGATCTCAAAAGATAAGAGGCAATGCGGAAAAATTGATGTAATAAAATTTTGCAGATTCTGAAAAAAGAAGCTGCGCACATGTAATCAGAATTTTTTTTAGTATGAGCAATAAACTGATAACAATAAATTGAACAGAAACAGACTGCAGCTTTGAACTCATGAAGTTGTGCGTGCTTTCTAATCTCACAATCTGGAAATTTCTTTTTAGATAATGTGTGTATACAGGGTGTCCCAAAAAGATGTGCACACTGTTTGATTGTTAATAACTCTCTTGCTTTCACGTCTTTTGCCGAGCTTGAGGTACCATTCTTTAGAGCAAGGTTCAACTCAAATTTACAGTATGGAGCTACTTATCAGCAGCTCTTCATTACTGTAGGATTACGGTAGGAATTTCGAGGAGGGTTTTAAGTTTTTGAAAGCGGTATTTTGCCTCAGAAAGAGAGCCAAACAAGCCAGAAACTCTTGAGGTGGGTTAATCGAAGTTGTTAATTCTGAATATGAAAATTGCACGTCAGTACACTGTTTCTTTTATGAGTTATCTCAGATTTAGGGTAACAACTGATTTTCCAATGTTTGTCAGAAATGTGAATACGCCATCAAGAAAGCTCGAAAAACTGGTGGAAAGTCATGTAGTGAAATCAGCACGCCTGAAAACCTTGCTGCACAAATTTCTAGATTTTTTTGAATTTATTTCATCAAAAGGCTTATTCCACAGTGACGCTGTATGCTGAAAGTCCATACCGTGATCCTACAGTAACGAAGAGTGATTGGTGATTCGCTCTATACTGTAAATCTAAGTTTATCCTCGCTCTACAGAATGGTACCTCAGGCTTGGCAAAAGACATGAAAGCAAGAGAGTTATTAACAATCAAACAGTGTGCACATCTTTTTGGGACACCCTGTATGCTGGTCTTAGTCGAAATGCAACTCACCGCTAGCAGTGACGGCTTCATTTTCAATTGACAAGAAGAACTTCAACTGACTTTAATGAAGTGAATGGTAGACAACGTTCCTTTTTACACACGTTTCAGCGGCATCACGTACACAATCATTGAAAAAACCCATTGTTCTGAGTCTAATGTGCTAAGTACATTCCGCTGAAGGTAGTGGAGATCGAGCGCAATGTTAATGAATTTTTGCAACTACTAGGATGCTATGCCTAAATACAAACACATCCAGAATTCATAGCTTTCACGTACTTCACAGTAGATATGACAAAGTGTCGTTCGCAAAACGCAGCACAGCTATTTTAGCGCTGCAGTATGGTTTGTTAACACTTTCCTCGTGATTTGGACCCCATCCACGAAGGATTCCGAAATTTGTATTTCTAATTTTGATGGTTTCATCATGTTATTTATTAATTTGTTTCTGCTTTTTGAAATCCAATCTATCATTCGATAAACAGACAACATTTTTATTTTCCTTGTTGAACAGCCCTCAGTTTACTGAGAGAAAATTCGTATTGACCAGCATCAGGGTAGTGTTGTTGAGAATCTTCAGTCACAACAGCCTATCCCGTTCTTGAAAAAAAAAGTGCCTTTGATTCAACGGGATTGGCGTTTGGAAGGCTACGGCTCGCACCGCAACGTAGTCTGCTCTCTCTTGCGGCGTGCTTTCTGATCCTTCTCTAGCCTTTAGGTCTCGAAGCCCCACCTTCCAGCCGCCAATGTATCAAAGGTCACGTTTTCGAGCTGCCAACTGAGAAAAGCAAGTGGAAACTGCATTCTATGGTACTTTAGAGGCTGATGATTACAGCCTTGTAGTGATAGCAAAGCACTCAACAGAAAAAAACGGAGTATACAAATTTAACTAGATTTAATAAATGTGTATGAGTTTGTAGTCAATGTTTGAAAAGTTTTGCATTGAGCCAAAAATTGAGAAGGTTCAAACTTTTCTTCACATAATTCTGTTAACACTATATGCACGCTTTATGCTAAACACATGGCACGTGTATGCTCTTTAGATTATAGCGATCGATTTGCTTGCGCAAATTTATAGCTTTTCAAGACACGGATTAAATTCATACGTTAATGTTGTAAATAGGAGAAGTTGGTGGCAAAAATACTCTCAGGAAAAAATGATAAAATATGCGTACAGTAACTGTGTGTTTTACACAAAACCGTCACACGTTATAGCCAAATGCAATACGCTAATGAGCCTTTGCAGTGACTTGTGGTCGAGCTTAACATTCAGTTAATGTCCGTAGTTTTCATTATTCTTTCATGACAGTTTTGATCAATTCAACAACGAGAGTTTCTGGTATTGAAAATCCGTACCAAGTACACACTTCAGCAACCCGAATTTGTATGCTGGAATAGCAATATTGAAAAGTACTGAAAAGTCAATGATTAATGAAGTTAGCTGTGAGGTTGTATGCGTATGTTTGCTGTGAGTCAAACTGATGACATCCTGTCTGTAGGAAACTAATTCCTACCTTGAAGTCTCGCAACAAACATCTCAATCTTTACCTCAAATAATGACATTACACGCCTGATGTTGATATTGCCCATGCTCAATTCAAAGTAGCTTTACATCGCTCTAAAGCACTCGATTAAATTATCGGTAAACGCTATCCTGGTAACTTGAAGATCAAAGAAATAGGGTTAAGCCGGTTTAAATATCAATAATTAATAAATAGTCAAAAGTAGTCAAAAGGCAAAACCGCCGATGAGCGGACTTCCAGGAGGACCGTAATTTTGGCTCTTTTATGTAGATCTTATGATCGATGTTGTTGATCCTTGACGCGCCGATGATATTTTCGAAAATTACGGCAACAAGGCAAAGCTGAAATGGGCCGGCAGCTCGCTGAAATATCGCCGGGATGTGTTAGATTCTTGGAATGGGAAATGCACAATCACAATGATGATTATACATAATCGTGTATATGTGAGTTGTTGCTTCCCAAAATTCGTGCTGTTGCTGATTGAAGCAGATTTGAGAATACGTTGGGAAACCTCCAGAATGTTTCAAAAAGGGAGTGACGCAATTGAGGTATGGCACAGATCATATGGAAACAAGCTGGATTTTGCTTTTGGGCGAAAAAGCAAAGGGGTATCGCTTTTGTGGGTCCGAAAAACACAAGTTAGTTTAGGTTTTTCTTGTCGATGTTTACGATAAAGGTCAAAAAGGACTTCGTAATATTTGCAGATATCAGGGGGGGACTTCGTTTTCAAAAAGTCTTGAAGCGGACTCATGCCGGGCCCTGGAACAGTGCCCTTTGCTTGACTAGTTTACTCTTCCTTCCTCAAAAATTCGAGAATTAATGCTATCAGCACAAATTTTCTTCAATCAGAACAAGCAGGTAATAAAACCTAAGATATAAACTCCTCCAATCTTTACTGCAAGTTTCTGATTTTTCACGGCCAAACACAGAAAACCAGAATTTGGGTAAATTTTTTTCGACCACTCTACGCAATGCATGCTCAATAGAAGCTTTTTGAGATATTGTGAAGAGCAAGACCTACCCTCTGAACAAAGACAGAAACAAGTAGTTTGGTATTAGGCTGGAAAATATTAGGTTGGAAAAACAAGAAGTTACGAACTTTTGTAATTGGTGTGAACAAATTTCAGGCCAACCTAATATTTCAATACCATGTGATCCATTTTCTCGGATCAATTCAAATGTAGAGATTAACATCTAACTCAATCTAAGTAAATGAGGCCGAAGATTGCATAGATGTAGGATTTCTCTTCTATTTCTAAGATCGATGTAACAAAGTGGAAGAAGGGAACTGAAAACGTGTGCCTATTGCAGCCGCTGAGTCTGCTGCATGACTGTGGAGCTGCACAACTTTAGCATGAAAAAGCCGTCGTTTTTCATAAATTCAATATTGTTACGCTAATGGCCGTGAGCAGCAGCGAACAATTCATTAGATTGTCCCATAAGTCTTTTCATTTCCGAATCTTTGCAATTTTGAAAAGCTAGTTCTTTTTTTGATTTTTAACGAAAACTGCTGCAAGTGTATGTATAAATATCTGATGTAGAGAGTATATGCGTGAGAGGATAAAAAATAGCAGTTTATTTTAAGAAGAGATACGATTATCTTCGTCATTTCGAGATTTAGAATTTTGATTTGTTTGAAACTTATTGTGGATTGAGCCTGGTGCGGGTTTCTGAACGCAATCTTGTAAAGCTTGCTTAACGAGGGAACTATGCTTATTGTTAGCGAAGTGACCTTTTTGGATGGAATGTATACCATATTAGAGAGCATGAAGCGCTTTTTTCAATCTGCCTTCCTTTTCTGCGGAACTTTCTTATTAGCGAGGAGCTACGAGCTTCTTTTAGACTAAAAGACTGCCTGTAGAATAGGACAAAAATTGTAGTACTATTTTTTTAGCTATTTATAGTACTATGATTATCAGAGCCAACTTAATGAATACTCTCAGTTATAAATTATATCACATTTGACTGCTTTATTTAAGGGCCAGGAAGATTTTGACGACTCAATTTACCCTAAATTTATTTTCTTACTCTATTAAACGCTCATAGCTCTTTGTCCTCATATGCTCCGCAATTGAGGACCAGATTTAAGATCGGCATTTTAAGCTCTTTAATATGGCATACATCACATAAGAAAGGCCACTTCGACTAAACATGGTTCCCTTGCTAGATCTGTTGAATAGCACCTCGCATCCTATTAGGAATATAAAAGGAACTGACTCATGTTTAAGGATCAAATATGAAAGGACTTATGAGACAATCTAGACTTCTAAGCACGCTGTGCAGATCGCTGTTAATCACGGCTTTGAATCAACAAATGGAAGCCCCAATAATTCTGAATGTAGGCAGGATTTGCGTAAGCTCATGGTTTCATGGGTGTTCGAGATACTGTACTGAATCACTGAAACTCGAGCGCGTTCTCTGCTATGTCGCCTAAGATTTGACTTTTGTAAACCCTCCGCAGTGAAGATTAATGATTCAAGAAAATACTGAACTTTCTTTCTAGATTAGTCCATTAATCTTACAAGAGAATGGTCAGAAATCAAAGTGGCCATTCCAAACAAGCTGCATACCGTTAGACGCAGCATGAAGCGCTAACCCTAAATCTGTCTTCCTTACTTGCTTATCGCTTTTTTGGACGAAGCTATAAGCCATTAAAGACCATTATTTTGCTAAGAAATTATGCGTGAAATTGAAAATTTGGCCGTGCAGAGCCATGTTCGCTTCAATGCTGGGCCAAAACATGCAGCTAGCGTACTTAAAATTTTTGAAGCCAGAAGCTGAGCTAAAAGCGCAATAATGTGCTCAATTTCGCTGTTTTTATGTATGATTTTTTCACAATAAACCCCCTTGTAGCTCCGTCCACAGAAGCGGGAAGCAGATAAGGAAGACAGATTCGAAGTCAGCGTTTTGTACTGAATCGAATGATGTACATATAGCTTCTCTGGTTTGGCCACTTCGACTTCTGACCATTCCCTTGTTAGTAGATTTCTTTGAATCTAATTTTTTACACGCTGCTTTAAGTATCGTGATAACGAGATTTTCTTCAAAGATATTATGGAAAGTATATAATCAATAAATTATTTCTGTTGTTCTTTGTACGAAGATTGTGGAATGGACTCAAATGCATTGCGAAAAACGGCATGCACAGGTGTTTTCCTTGGAGATGCCGCATATTACCGACTCATTATGAAGAACACTGCCAAGATGTGCTCTTAGAACTGAATATCAAAAGGACGAATAGGATCTAAAGTACTGAAGTTTTTCTAATAGATTTGAAGCCGCAATTAAAGGACGTTTGTTGGAAGTTACTGTAGGTATATGTACGTTTGCACGACTGCAGTGTCACAGAGTATGTTGTCAAAAAATTTCATCAGATTTATTGACTAGCCACCTCCGCTATAAACGATTGGGAAGAATATTTAGATAACTAGATGCTTACAAGAGAAGGAATTCAATTTGGATTGGACTTTTGAATTGGGACGTACACAGTTCGAATCGGCTTAAAACGCT